TCCCGATGTTACTAATCCACACGGCAGGCCATTAACTTAAGTCCACTATAAGTCCCAAGGTCAAAGACATAGCAGGCTGCTGAGCAACGACACAGCTACATGCAGGGTCCAAGCATTCCAAAGGCTGGAAACCATTCACAAAGCTTCTGCTTATACACAGGAAGCAGACCACATCCCAAAGGCAGCTACTCAGCTGCTTGTGGTAGATCCCTCCATGGAGCTGATCGCCAGTCTCATCATGGGGAATACTACCACCAGCTGCCCAGCCACTCACCCAGGCCCAGCCAAGCTGACACACGAACATCACCACCACACCCACCGTGAGGCTGTCGTGAGGTTCCCAGGGCTCCGTGGGCTTGGAGCAGCTGTGGTATCTCTTGGGGCTACTTGGTCTTCCTCCCATCAGGACCCTGGCAGTGGGACAGGGTGACTGGAGGGTGGCAAAGTGTGAAGCTGGGTCACCAAGAGGGTGGGGCACCCTTCTGGGATCCGGAGCCTCAGCAAAGGGGTGGTGGGGACCCCCACTTTCGGCCACTGGGAACTGAGGGGCCTTGCAGCCTCTGTCCAGCTGTTAACAGCCTAACCAAAGTTGAACAAAACCCGTCATCGTCAGGCCATTTCTGACCTGTGACCTGTGTGTCAGAGTCGAACTGTGCTCCACAGGGTTTTCAATGGCAGGGAGATCACCAGGCCTTTCTTTCGAGGGACCTGGTGGTGGAATCGAACCCCCACCCTTCGTTCCTGTTTGTGCCACCCTGGGGCTCTTTAGCAGCCCTGGGGGACCGCTGTCATTCACTCCGTTTGCAGATGGGGATTGAGGTTCGAGGAAGCCGAAGGGATTGACCAAGACCCCCCAGCCAGTGATGAGAGAGGTCAGAGCTGTGTCTGCCTCCCACCAGTCCTTCTCTGCCACTCGGGGTTGGGTCTTGAAGGCCTTGCCTCAGGGAGTCAGAAGCTTTGGTCTTTTTTCTAAAGGCCCGCACAGGTGCTGGGAACCTGCTGAGTCAGGGCTGGGCCTTTGGGGAAGGAAGGGTCTGCTCAGTAGACCTGGTTATTTTGGGGGCCTTAGGGGCCAGAGCACTTCCTGGGCCCCCAGGTCTGGGGTGGACAGCAGCAGGAGTGCTGGGAAGTTTCACTTCCCTTGGTGGGGGGCCCGCTTCCCAGTTTCAGTGGGTGTTTGTAAACCGGAAGGAGGGCCCCTGATCCGGACTGTGCGTGTGTGTGAGAGTGTATGTGTGTGTTTGGGTGTGTGTTGGTGTTTGTGAGTCTGTGGTCTGAGGGGTCTGCAAGGGAATCTGCTGAGTCGCACCTTTGAGACCAAGGAAGTGGAGGAGGTAGAGAGAGACTCCTAGCCTCCTAACCCCTAACCCACAGTGTTGTACAGCTTGGCCCAGGGGCTAACCCCTAACCCACAGTGTTGTACAGCTTGGCCCAGGACAGCCGCCGGTCCAGGCTTTGCAGGACCAGGCCCAAACTGCCCCTGGTCCCTGCGCACCCCTCTTGCATGTCACACCACCTTGAGTTCCGCTGCTGCCGTCCGGTCCTGGCCACGCCAGCAGAGGTTACGTCTCTGCTTCCTCCCCAGGTCTGTTCAGCAGCTCTTGGTCCTAACAACACCCCATCTTCTGTCTCTAGCTGTGGGGGCCGCAGAGCCCAGCCCCGGGTTCCCTTCTCTGTCCACCCTCTCAGATGACCTCCCACTGGCCTCTGGCTTCTGGTGCCTTCTTCTCCGCTGCTGGTTCTCAGATTCCCAGCCCAGGGCCCCAGGCTCATGCATTTTCTGCTGCCTGCCCTTGTTTTGTTGTGCACAGCTTAGGACAGTGTCTGTAGGACATGTCAACCCTCAGGGCTGGAGGAGGCTGGGGCAGGAGGTGGGCTGGCCTGCAGGCCCTGAGCCACGTGGGGAGATGCTCCTAACCCCAAAACAAACTGGATGGGTGATGGCTGGATGTGCAGGTGGTGGGTGACGGGGCCTTAGGGGAGGCACGGTGGGGGCGGAGCGACCAGGCCAGAGAGACAGACAAAGTGGAGGGGCCTGCTGGGCGTAAGGGTCTGTTGGGGGCTTTGTTCTGAGCGTGTTGAGTTTGGGTGCTGTGAGGTGGTGTGCGTGGAGCTCTGGAGACGGCTCTCAGGAGTCCAGATGACCCTTCAGGGCTGGGCCTGATGTTGACGACACAGAGGGGGTCAGGCTCAGCCTGTCTGAGTGTTCGCGGGCGGAGGGCTGGGGCAGGGGTGGGCACTGAATCAGCAAAGCCAACGCAGGGCCTTCAGCGCCTCTCTCTCTGTCTCTGTGTCTCCCTCGCTCTCTCCCCGTCTGTCTTGTCTGTCTGTCTCTCTGTGTATGTCTCTGTCTCTCTCTGTGTGTCTCTGTCTTTGATTCTGTCTCTCTGTATGTCTCTGTCTCTGTCTGTCTGTCTTTCCCTTACACAAACACTTATATCCATTAACCCATCTGCAGGCACTTTGGGGGCCTATCTGAGGAGCTCTGGCTGGGCACGGTGGGCACACCGGCCAACCTGCCTTGTCTCTGCCCCTCGGCCCCACCGTCTAGTTGTATAAACAGACATATCATTAGTGGAGGAGGGCATGATGCTGGAGTGTAGGGAGTCACTTCTCCGGGGGGTTCTCTAAGGGGCACGTAGTAGCCGCCCC